TTGACATAATGAAACTAAAGAATTGGACCATGCTCTATTATGAAAACCAAACCAAAGCCACTGCCATCAAGTCAGTTCCAATTCATAGCAGCCCTTCATCGGTTTGCAAGGCTGCAAATCTGTAAAGGAGCCTCATCTTTTTCCTTTGGAGTGGCTGATAGGTTTTAACTAATAATTTTGATGGTTAGCAGCTCAGAGCCTAAACTGTAGCATCACCCAGTTCTAACAAAGAAAATGATCCATAATGCTAAACCAGATATAATAATGATATGTTTTGAGAATGCTCAAACCTTAAGTTGCAATTCTGAAGGATTATAAGGGCAATATATTGGCTGATGCAGGAAGTATCAAAAGAAAGTGGAAGGAATACACAGAATCATGCAACCCAAAACAGTTGTCAGCATCCAACCACTTCATGCATTAGCCTATGACCAAGAACCAATGGTATTGAAAGAAGTCCATGCTGCACTGAAAGCATTAGTGAAAAATAAGTCTTCAAGGAATGAGAAAACACTAATTAAAGTATTTCAAGCATCTGATGCTGCACTGGAAGCACTCACTAGTCTATGTCAAGAAATTTAGAAGGCAGCTACCTGCCCAACCAACTGGAAAAGATCCCATATTTGTGCCCATGCCAAAGGAAGACAGCCTGAAAAGAATGTGAAAACTATTTAACAATATTATTAATAACACATGAAGTCATTATCATTGAACAAGATCATTAATAACACATTAATGAACAATAATGATATTAATCAACAATAATGATATTATCACAATATCATTAATAACAAATTAATATCATTAATACCAATATTATTAATAACACATCATTGAACAATATCATTAATAACACATGTTATAAATATCATTAATAACACATTATTTTTGCTGAAGATAACTCACATATTGTACAGCAGTACATTGATAAGGTGCTGCCAGAAATTTAAACCACATTTAGAAGAGGACTTAAACCAGGGATATCATTCCTGATGTCAGATAGACCTTGGCTGAAAGCAGAGAAAACCAGGAAAAATGTTTACTTGTCTTGTATTGACTATGCAAAGATATTCTGCTGTGTGGATAATAACACATATAGACAACATTGCTAAGTATGGGAATTCCAGAACACTAAATTGTGCTCATACAGAACCTGTACATCGACCAAAAGGCGCCTATTCAAACAGAACAAGGCGATACTATGTAGTTTACAATCAGAACAGGTGCATCAGAGCTGTATCCTTCCATCACACGTGTTCAGTCTGTATGCTGAGCAAATAATGAGAGAAGCCGGACTATAAGAAGAATCTGACCTAAGGATTGGTTAAATAATGGAAAAATGAATTCTGAATTCAAAATAATTTGGGTATACATGGGATCAAACAGATTTTGCACACTTATTTGTTTGGCTTGTTAATCTAAAACCAAAAAGAACCATTTACATGCTCATGTACATTGTGAACATCTAAGAAATCACAAGAAATGGACTGTTTCCCAGAACTTGTTTGAATATTCTACATTCTCTCTCCCACCAACATTGGTAAACTCTTCCTATTAGGCTGCAATAAAATTAGGTATTAAATAATAATAGTATTTTAAGTACAAGGAATACTTAAGTGGTTCTTAGCATTAATATGTATATAAATTGATCAAATTGTTGAGAAAGATAATAGCATTAAGATCATAATTGATAAATAGGCAAATTATTGGGTAAATTGAAAGGGTGGCATATAAATGTCTAATAAATGTGATTTTTGTGTATTGCTTATCATGAATCCGAATTTTAGAAAAACAAAAGTTATATTTTCATGCCCAGAGGTTTCCAGTCTTTCTTGGTTCACAAGATCCTGAGTGGACTAATTTTTTTTTTCCCCACAGTGTCTTTGGGGAAAAAAGAATGAATAGTGTCATATATTTATTTGGTAGGTTCAGACAACTTGTTAAAACTTAACAGTAGCCTTTGGGAAAATACATAAACATGAATTGAAAGTAAAATATATCTTTTTATTTCATTCTTAAGCAGCCACATTATTTAATAATGAAAGTGTATACCATATTGGTCATTGAATAACTTTACAAATTTGGAATCAGATTGAAGACTGCCACCTTCATTTCCTGTTCCACATTGCTTGCTCTGTGTCGCAGCAACCACTTAAGCCTACTTTATAAACAAACAGAAAAATCTAAGAAGATGATAAAGAAATGTCAAAAAGATACTTATCTCTGAATGATATTATTGTGGCTGATACTTTTGGTGATTTTTTTTCACATTTTTACATGGATTCATTATTTTTATAATTAGAAAATTAACTTTTTTAGCCTGGGAAAAATATTGAAAGAAGAAATGCATTTATCTTGAAAACTCCAAAATAAGATGAACTCTTTGGGGTTGAAAAAGAGAAATTATATTTTGCTCTTTTTTCTCTAAGAGGGCAGTCTAATATTGGAAGTTAAATGAATGCATAATAACCACAAACAGTACAAATTGGAATGGAATTAAGGGTCTTAAGCAGGAGCGTCAATGGCTCTTTAGGTGAAAAGCTTGTGTTTAGATGGAATGGAGTCAAGGAGGTTGGGAGTGGTAAGACGGGTAGGATTTCAAAAGGTAGCAATTGGGTTAAGCCATTCCAGAAAGAAGCAAGAGTCAACTGTATAGATGTGCAACGTAATTTGGGCCAGAACCTGCGATAGAAGATGAGATATATGCTTTCAGGTCAGATTATATAGGGTGCTGAATGTCCAGTTTAGAAACCAAGAGTCTCACAAACGTCTGCCTCTTCAATTCCTAGCCTAATGTCCTGACCTCAGACAGACCCTCCTGTCCAATGATGTTGCAAAATTGAAACGACCTGAAGTGAAGCAGGTCGCACAGACTTCAGAGATGAGGCTAGTGAGAAGTACTGAGTTAGAAGCAGTAAAAAGTACAGCAGTTCCTCTTATCAGATGAGTCAAAAGAGTTTATCGAAGCTTGTGAGGGAATGGGACCTGACGGAAACCATGTTTTCATTAAATGTAGAGGGCACAGAGATTGCTGATCGATAAATGAGGAAGAAAGTGTAGACGGATAAGTTCACAGTAAAATAGAAGTAATATGCAATACAATGCGACGGAACTATTACAAGGGAAGAAAGGGAGATGATTGGACTGTTTTACAGTGGGCGGTTAGCTACTATTAAGTGTTTAATAAAAATTAATTGACTTGTTTCGTGCAAATGTATTATTTTTACAAAGGTAACAGAATAATCCAAAATGCAGTAATGGCAATAGCCAACAGCAGGGCTCGTTGTTGTGCATCTGTACCCAAGCCTTCTGTAGCACTATGTCAGACTAAGTGCTAAGTAAGACAGACTAAATATTGTTGATGAGAAGTGTTTTCTTTTCCTTTTTATGCTCTCACATAGTTAAATAAATGCTACACTTAGCTACCCAGTTTGGACTTCCCAGAAATACTTTGTTCTGAAAAAACAAAAGAAGCTACTTTGTTTTGTCTTTTTAAAACTGACTAACCATGTTCTAAAAACCTTTTCCTTAAAGATGTTTTAAAAAAATTATGAAATAGCTAGGTTTTTTAATTTTTGTTTTTGTTTTATACATTAATATAGGGAAACGTTTATGCAACTATGAACACCTTGCTTGGGTTCTCTGTTTCCATTTCTCTGTGACCAGGGCACGAGGATGGGGTTTGGAAGGTGGCTGGAGATGGGGATGCTGTCTTAGGTTGTGAAAAGGGGTTGACTGTCTTGTCCTTGAACAAAATGAAGTGGTCCCAGTGGGAGTCAAAGGAGAGTCAGGAACCTAAGTCCTGTGCTGTACGAAGGACGCTTTGGGAAAGACCACCTGGCATTTTATGTTGTTCTGCATCCATTCAAGAGCAAGGATCCATGTGCTCGGTGATACTCTTGTATCAATAAAAGATTCACTGTGCTTGAGTCGATTCTGACTCAGCAACCCCAGACAGGTTTTCCAAGACTATACATCTTGAGGGGGACAGGCATCTTTCTCCCACAGAGAAGCTGCTGGGTCTGAACCACAGTCCTTGTGGTGAGCAGCCCATACTTAACCCACAGCGCCATCACAGTCAGACAGTAACGTGTGCTTCTTTCATAAAGGTTATATTTCTCCTTTGTTTGTTATTCCTTTTTCAAGTTTCTTGTGTGATCGTCTTATTGTTTTACCAGGTAGACAGAGATAATGGCTCTCTGGCTATTAAGATTAATTCATTTCCTGAATGTGAGATGTGTTGGAAAATATTACCACCATTGTGTAATTAAATATGTTTGGGCGTCGTGGTTACTGTTAATAATCCTGCCTCAAAGCACCATGTAGGTTAATTCTTGGTATTCTAAGATCACTGCTGACGACAGAGAATACACTTAGATCTGCCGCAGGTTTTGCAACTGTGAATAGTTTCTACCGAAGTGGAAAGAAAGAGGAAACACTCTGCTTTTATGTGTACTTTTTCTCATCAATTGCATTCTTTTTCATTCTTCTTGGTACCCATGAATAATCTAATTTTATTGAACTGTGAAATTTCAAGTTAGTACATTTTGGTTATCTTCAGTACAATTTCCTGACTGTACCCTACCCTCTTCCCACCCCGCACCCCCAAAACTGATTCTCATCCTGTATCTAGACTACTCCTAATTTGTCTTTTCAATGAGTCAATGTGGGGAGATGTAGTCGTGTAAGAGTAAATGCTAGTGTGAAGTCAAAAATTTGAAGACGGAGTCTCATAGCTGCAATGGTCTGTGATACAGTCGGAGCGTGAACTTGATTCAGTGTTTTCTCTGTCTCCAGAGGTCTGATCTGCCGGTCTCCTTGCCACTTTTTAGTCCTGGTAGAAACTTATTGTCTTTTCTTGCCTAGCTCTGAGTGTGGAGAAGGAAAGCGACAAAAGTCTCAAAAGCTTCTAACGACTTTCCTCTAACGTCCCCGGCGTTGGCCTGTGATCAGGCCTGGGCTGAGACTGACAGCATACTGATCCTGCATTCTCTTCACAGTGGGTAAACCTCACAAGTGCAACTACTGTGGACGAAGCTACAAGCAGCGGAGTTCACTGGAGGAGCACAAGGAACGCTGCCACAACTATCTGCAGAACGTTAGCATGGAGGCTGCGGGGCAGGTCATGAGTCACCATGGTGGGTAGAAATGCCATTTGTCATTTTCATTCAGCTCTGAAACTGCTGTTGTGGTGCTTTGTGAATTAAATAGTGCCTTCCACTTTTCAAAAACAGCAGATGAAATCTGACTCCATTTAAAACGGTTTTAGACCACATTAATTTTGTGTGGAATGATTTTACACATTTTAAAAGAATTGAACTTTGTGATACTTTGCAAGCAAGCTATATTGAGTGTTTGTGATGGTCCAGGTGTATTCCTGATAGGTCATATTGAGTATTAATATAAGGAACGGTAGCTAGCCCTGAATGCAACATTGGGAGATGCTATTGACTCTTCTTTTTCATTAGCTGTCCCCAGATGTTAGAGATCATTCCACATAAGTCTAATAGATTTCCTGAAAGAATGAATTAATTATTTGCATACTGTTTCATAATTCTTAGATGAGTGATCAGTGATAGAAGTTTTGAATTTCTCCAATCACTCTTGGAATTTATTGTGAAATTAAGGATTTTGCTTTCTACAAATATGGACCGAGACTAAAATTAGACATGACTACTGTTTCCATTCACCAAAGAAAGAAAGAAAGGAAGGAGGAAAACCCAAGCAAAGCATCCGAGTTTCCACCCTACACCGTGGCTGTTAGGGGAGCAGCTCCGAAAAGTTACTATATTTTGCTGTCTCACAAAAATTAGTTGTAGTGCAGTCAGGCATGTAGCAAATCTGATGCATTTCATTCATGAGCCTTAAGGACTCTGTCTTATCCTATGAATTACAGTTATATTGATTGACTTTATTATTAAAACAGTGTACATAAAGACCACAACAAATTCGTACATTTATAGCTTTTCTCAATCAAGGGAAAAAGGATTTAGCCAGTGTCAAATGATACATTTGGGGATTGTGGTAACCACTTTTAAATTGAGATCAATTTAATGACATAACCAGCTCAAGGATTTTTTTGTCTAATTTTGTCTGTTTAAAAGTTGTAGTTTTCTTCTTTTTTAATATAGTACACATTGTGAAGCTGTGTTTATTAAGAAGGTAATGCTGGCTTTTTGAGTTGGTTTTTAAAAAATATTTCATTATCCTAAATAATGGAAACCTGTTCTTGTATTGAAAGACAGTTAATATAATTTCAATAATCAAATCCAATTTTAATTTGTTGTAATTCAGTCTATTTATGTTTGTATTATGAACGTCATGTGCTAGCATCTTTGAAAACCTGTGTTTTTCAAGAAATCGGATCTTGGAAGTGCACACTACTTGAACTTATGAGGTAGCCTATGCAACAGCATATAGCTTTTCTAATGGTCATCTGGAAGTCCAACAAATGTGTCTGGCCAGGTGACCTAGTGTGACTGACCGTGCTGTGAAAATAGAATGTGATCGCATGGGCAGCAGTAGCCCCAAAATGCTTCTGATTATTCACAGTTAAGAGCATTCAATGCTAAGCTACAATCCATATACCATCCCCTATGAAGTTGTTTCTTTTCCGAATTTAAATAACTATTAGCTAAACGTTTGTCTTGTAAATTGTGTGGCTTCCTTTATTTCTCCTGTACTTACTGAGAAACCCTTGAACTGTTAGTTCTCTTCAGAAAAGGACTGTTTTGAGGATTACCATAGCTGAATTAGAATTTGAATAAAATAAATGAAAAAGATATACTATATTAAAACAAAATTATTTTAGTGAAAAAGTAAGTTCCACTTTATCTGTATTCCTATAGTAGGCATAAGGAACTTTTCATGGGTTTAACGGTCTAGCATACACACTGTTTATTTTGCTATGTTTTGTTTTGTTTTCTATCATGCATGCTAGTTTTGATGAATGTTGGTTTTAGGGTTGACTTGAGACAGGGAGCTAATGGAGGTTTTAAAGCATGCCAAAGCTTTCCAAAGACACCTTAGGCCACTGCTACTAGTTTTGCCTTGTAATGTTCTCCCATTTGGAAAGATTATGTGCATGCAAATCCATTGGTGAAATCATTTTCTAGTCACGGTTAATTTTGGATCTCTGTGATGCATAGATGAGTAAGAGAGTTTCTCCTAAAAGGATTTACAATGTTTCAGGAGATAAAGGTGTATGTATGTTAATGATTACAGTAAACATGTAACCATTTAAAACCCAGTTAGCCACCTAGAGACTAAGTGAGGAACAAGTTAATCAATAGGAAAGAATGTGCATATTTTAGTAGAGTGGGGAAAACATGCCCTGTAAACAACTGGGGCCCCCATTTCCCAGACTGCTTAGTCTTCAACAGCATTGATCCATTACATAGTGGTCCTGAACTTGATAGTTAGTGGGGAGAAGCAGGACAAGATGCTAGAATGTAGAACACAGGACAAGCAAAAGAGTAGGGGATAAGAGCAGGTTTGATATCATTTTTAGGACCAAAATTAGTTCTTAAATAGCTGGTCTAATTACATAAATTTTATTAATCCATTTTCACACTATACTTTTTTTCCTAGTTGTACTGTAACAATACTTTGAAGTGATTCTCAACTTTCCCCTTTTTACATTATACCAGGGAAATTGGCTTTATGAGTTAGGAATTGATAACTGCCATAATAGCAAAATGTATACTACATAAAATGCTAATTGAGTTTATTATTACCCTTTCTCATATACATATATTGGTATGTGTATCCTTCGAAACAGAACCACAGCATAATTCAAAGTTTTCCTTCTCCTTCTCTTCCTATCTTGCTGCATCTTGCCATTTTTCATTTGGATGTTGGTAATAGATATAGGGGCTGCCATCTCTCGAGTTGCTATTAGCTCTTTGAAACAGATTGCTGTTCTCTCCTTTGTAGAAATCGAACATAGCTCTATTTCTTAGCCTGTCTTTCCCAAAACATGTCTCTTCAAGTGAGGGAAGAACTGAATTTAAAAAGTTATTCTTTCACTTGTCAACTTCTATAAAATATTTACCAAATTCTATTGAATAGTATGGTATATAAAGATAAATAAATATAATTTCTTTTATAAATGTATGTTACTGTCTGATGTGAAATAATTACATTTAAAGAGAGAGAGAGAAATAAAATGAAACAGTTCTTTAAGCTCAAAGATGTGGAAATAATCTACCCATATCTAAAGAAGTTAAAATGAGCTTTTCAGATGTGTCTTAGTGTTGACCAAAGCATTAGGGATGAGTAAACTTACAGCATAGAAGGAGACAGGGAACAGAAAGTGTACATTCCAAGCCGAGAAGTTACCTTGTATGAAAGCACATCAACATGGAACCTAGGAAGAATAATTTGTGTCTTCTAAAGGGAAATGTCGGCGGTGTAAAATAAAGGATAGATGGCTGCCTGTGAAAGCAGGTAGTGAGAAAGAGGCTAGAAGTGAGAATGCCAAGGAGAATGTGAGGATAAGAGGCCAGGAGGAAGGAAGCATTGAAGAGTTTGGGAGGTAGAATAAAGAGCTCTTAGTAAAGGTTGATGTGGCTCTGGAGGGAAAATTGTGGCTCCCAGTTGTAGAAATTTAGCTATATTGAATTGCATTGTAAGGCAGATTATTTACATTATTTGAAAATTAGCTCTATGCTGATTTTACAAGTGCTTTCAACTTAATGAAAGCTTCAAAAGCCAAAATGTTACTACTACTCCCCCTATACCCCCCTATACCTAGGCTAAAAACAAATTGAAAGTGTGAACCCAAAATTTGTCTTGCTTTAAAACAAGAATGCATCTTCTTAAGTCTGTGCTCTGAAGCATTTGGGAAAGAGAAGTTCATTATCCAAGTATGGAATAATACTTTGTTAAGCATACTCTCCTTCATGAAATCATACAGTAAGTATCCATTGAATAATTGCTATCTGTCCAAACATTACAAGAATTATTAGAGACATGAAGCCAAATAAAAGGTATCCTCTGTCGCAGAGTTACTATGTTTTCTTGGAAGATGAAGTTTTTATCTTGGCTCTAGCATGAAAATGCGATTAAAGAAGACATTTGGTTTGGAAGCTTGCCCAAACAAGTGACATTGGCATATTGGTATTTTTTTTTAAAACTTGGTAGACACCTCACTATATGATAATTCACTATTGAATTAACTAGAGAACTTGTTTATATATGTATATATATATTTACATATACATATATATATAGTTTCAAACAATACATATTCAGAAACATTTTAATGCGTTGCCCATAATATATGAAAGTTAAAAAAATTCATTTTAATTAGGTAAATGAGAAAATGTTATCAGGTCTTCAATAGCTGACTGTGTGAATATGTCAGACTTGTTTGTAAAAAAATCAACAATCAAATTACCTCTGAAAGAAAAGCATAACAAGGGCCCAGGCTGTGGGGCTATACCACCTGGCTCAAGCCCTACAATCTTTCTTAAATAGGTATTAGCCTTAAGGAAATAATTTCATGTGTCTGGGTTTGTGTGTCTCCACCTGTAAAATAAAGATGATAGTAATAACTGTCTCTTGGGAATTATTACAGGGGTTAATTAAATTATTTAATGTACTACCTTTAAAAGAAAGCCCCCCAAAGTACTTAACACACAGCTCATGTGTTACATACGATAATTATCTCTGATACAGTAAACATCAGAATGAATTCTTGACTTGAGAAGGCCTGTTGTAAAATAGAAGCTAGACTAGCTTTCTGTTGAAGTCAATATTTTCATTTCACATGAGCTTCATTGAACTGGGGCCCAATCTGAATTGACTGGATGTGGTACGGGGCGGGTCTCATACCTGGGTTTCATTTTGACTATGAATGTGTGCAAATATGAAAATTCAAGCTCGTACTTAAAGGACAACTGTCAAATTTTATACTATTCATTTCAAAACTAATTAGTATATTCATTTTGGGGGCAAACCCTATTAATTTAGCTGGTGTTTAGCAAAATCAACACCAACACTTTTTTTTCTTTTCATTTTGGATCTTGGTCTGTGATATAGTTTCAACTTTGGTCCATTTGTGGCCTGTTTCTTTGTAGTTATATAGTTATTTTTCATAATGTTATCTGTGAATCCACCACACAAGTTAAAGGTTAGATAAGCCTTCGACAATACTTTATATTTAATTACATTATGCCTTATCACCACCATGTCACCATTCCACCCTGCCTCCCTTATTTGATTTTCTTTTAGTAATCCTTATACTTTTCTTAACATATGTGTCTGTTTGTATGTATGTATATAACTTTATTTGTATAACTTTACTTTATCTGTATTTGGATTATACATAAATACACACACACACGGGAGCTTTAAAAAGGTTTTGGAAATTTTCCATTATGTTTTAATTCCATTTTTTCCACAAAATTTTTGAATATTTATTATAGATGTTATATATACATCCATATATATAGTTGGTAAGAGAGTATCTACTATTCTAGAGGTTTACTTATTTCACTTAAATATACCACTGTCCATATAGACAGTGACCTAGCATTTCCTTGTTTCTGAACTTCATCTTACATTTCTCTCCCCAATTTTAAATTATATAATCAGGGTATCCCTGATGAGGATTCCATTCATAGCCCAAGAACTTCTTATAAAATGGAGGCTATAGATTAAGTGTTTCTGCCCAACCACAAAGCACAACAGGTTAATCAAAACTGAGATTGAAGATTTTTTTTTAATGTGTCTACTGTAAAGGGGAAAAGTTCTGGTGTCATTTCTCATTTCTTCAAAATCATCAGCCCATATTGGGTATGACTTGATAACCTGCCTTAGACACTGAATTTTCCTCACTTTGTTCTCTTGCTTTCTTGTGGTATGTTAGCAGCTCCTACTAAATGCAAATGCGTTGTCTTCGCACGGTCAGGATAGTCTGTCCAAATGGAGAGGAGAGGTGAAACCATCGTGCGCTGCCTGTGAGCCCTGATATGAACGCCTCGGGTCTCCAGGCAACACTGCCCCAGTGCAATTGCAGCCAGCAGTGCTCACCATGAAACAATGGTGAACTCTGGTTTTAACCAGCTCATCAGTTCTGTCACATATGTCACTCTATCCTTACTTGAATGTCCTTTGACACTATTTCCATTCAAATACAACTTTTCAAAGTTCCTCTGCAATGCCCCAAATGTCGATATCCAATAGATTAGTCCATAGCAACTTAGGGAAATGGGGGGGCGAGAGCAGCCTTGGAGAGTGTCTTTCAAATGAATTCGGGCAGTAGTTTAAGTAAGCCAATGCGCGCGTTTGGAAATGGATTCTCTTACCCTGCTGAAGAGCTCTTTTCAAACTAAATCACAATCATAAAGCTGCCACAGTTTACTATGTGCAGACATGTTCAGAATGGGATCTCCTTCGTGAAAGCTGCTTTGTGCAGGTGTTTAAGCTACTGGCAACAGGGCTAAGGGCTCATTCCGCTCAACACATTGGAAATCTGCTGCAGGAAAGGACCTGGGCCAAAGACACAGGTTAAAATACGGTGCTGTTATTCTGTGTGTCTGCTTACATTTCCCTGTAAAATAAGTTGATTTTATTAAATTATTTTTTAAAAATTAACTCCAAGAGCCTGGAGAATAGCTTAGTCTCTGTGGTATTGATTTAAACCGATGTTAAAAGAAAAAAAAAAGACTCCTTCAGAGAAATAAGATGAGACACAAGATGCACACGTGTGCTCGGGTCGAGGCAACAGTTGGTGTCATTGATCTGAAGGAGACCTGCGTAAAAACAAGTCGTGTGTGTGTGTGTGTGTGTGTGTGTGTGTAAGTGTGAGGGTAAAATTAGAGTACACTTTTCACACTAGACTTTATGCTTTCTGCTTGCTTTTATTCAAGCTCACTTGCTTAATGTTTGTATAGCTCGTATTGAGATGGCAAATTCAGCTATGTATCTTTCCAAATGTTGAAGAAATTATCAGACTGCATTTTTGTATGGTTTTATATAGTACCTCCTATGGAAGATTGTAAGGAACAAGAGCCTATTATGGACAACAATATTTCTCTGGTGCCTTTTGAGAGACCTGCTGTCATAGAGAAGCTCACGGGGAATATGGGAAAACGTAAAAGCTCCACTCCACAAAAGTTTGTGGGTAAGCATTAAGAATGCTTTTATTTCTTTAAAGGGTGATTTTAATGACCAAAAGGCATACTCTCACTTCTTAGAAGAATGCCGGTGTATTTTCACTCACAGATTAAATACTGGCCTCTTTTCTCTGTTATTTATTTTTACTCTATGCCAATCCACGTGCACCACATTTAAACACACAGTTGCGCGCACACACACACACACACACACACACACACACACACAAACATACTTAGGCATTTGGGTCTAAGAAAGAGAAATAAAAGGAGAAGTAATAATAATAGCTTGCTATTTTATTTCACAGTGAAATTAATGTAAAGTAAAATGGCATGTAAATATGAGATGTTAATTTACTTTTAAAATAATAAATTTTTACTGGAAATGGTATAGTCTATTGACTGGTTACATGCTCAGCTGCTAACTAAAAGGTCAGCTGTTCTAACCCACCACCCACTCCCCAGGAGAACAGGCTGGCAGTTTGCCTCCGTGAGACTTACACAGCTCTGGGAGACGTACGGGGCAGTTCTCCGCTCTACTGCCGGCCTGCCATGAGTCACAGCAACTTGATGGCAACAACTTGGTTCTGTTTTTGTTTTTTATTGGACAGTTAGTGTTCCGTTTTAAAATGTACATTAGCATCGAATCTTTAACTCATTACTATGCATAGGTCTTTTAGTATTGCATCTAGAGTGAAGAGAACTAATCATAATGGGGTTTTTTTTCTTTTCAAAATTCTACATTAGAAATACAAAGCAACAACTCACATCCAGGGTATCTTACATGGGGCTCTATAGGTCTACCATGTTTTCATTTAAGCTGATAGTTGTAAAATGAAAAAGATTAGACAGTATATGTTTAGACTTTCCTCTTTCATTTCTAAGTTCTTTGATAGAACAACTTACTCTTTGATATCGTCAGACCTCAAATTATTCAGAGTTCATACTATAAGTAATAAATTATCTAGGAGGATACAAAAACATGATTTTTAAAGGAATGTATCTTATAAAGTGAATATAAAGAATTCTTATTTATTATATGCATAAATATATATTCCTTTTTGCTGTATATAGGACATAAAGGGAGAAAATATTCAAAAGAGCATTATGGGACCTTCTCAACTAGATGAATGGCGATAAGGAAGAAATACATTATTTAGTTATTTCAGGAAAGAAAGAGTAAGGACATTTACCTTACTTATAAAATTGAGGAGATAAGAAATCACCAAAAGGTCTTTTGAAAAAGTAACTAGAGGAGTTACTGACAGAGATCATGGAAAGAGTATGAATCTAAGGATTCTACGGACCACAGTTAATACAAAGTCAGTTAAGCATTCCTGGTCTAGCACTCAAGGTCTGAGGTTCTTCTGTTTGGTCCCTAGGTAACTTCCTCTCCCTTTTTCCTCCTTTCTTTCTTCCTTCCTCTCTCTGTCTCTCTAGCTGTTGTTTTTGTGTCTGTCAGAGCAGTGATTTTAAAATGCCATTATTTGGTGAATGTCCATTACATGCCTCTACCTCAATTAGGCATTGGCAAAATGTGAAATATGCTATCATCATCCTTTCTGTTGTCTCAGTTTCTAAAGTTCTGCATTTTGGAACATTTTTGTCATGTCTTATATGACATGGCGCT